AAATATAGTTTTTTTTTATTTGTTTTCTATTTTTAGTTTGAACGTAGGATTTATTTTGGCAATTAATTTTATTATAAATAATTATAAACACAATATATAACTTTTCAATTATTTTTTATTATAATAATAATATATTATTAGAAAAGTGTCGGTTGCAGGTTAACCATCGAATGTTTGTTTTCATCTTAATTTTTCACGTTAAATTGTTAAATATTTTATTATTTAGGAATCTTCCAAATTTTTATTAACTATTCATATGTTGATGGATTTATATTTATTTAAAACTTAATGTTTATTGCAATTTTTATAACACCGTTAACCACTGCTGATAGCGTTTGTACACTTATGTTGACAAAACAAAGCCGCACGAAAAAATGAAAGAGCGCGCGTCGCGACTGACGCGCATACGTTTACTATGGGACATTTGAAAATTTCATAGTCACAATTTTAAATTTAAACCGAGTACACGTGACTAAATGTCAAATTTTTTTTATAAATTTTTATTGTCGACTGAACAACAGACATTTTACTATGGAACTATAATGAAAAGTTTTAAGCACACTCACAGTTTTTGTTCAGTCAGTTTACGAAAATTTTTTATATATGTTTATGTAACAGTTACATGGTCAAATTTACTATGGTCCCTAGTAAATATTGATTGGTACAATATGATATTCTTAAATTTTTATGGTAATATTTTGAATTGAGTCATTAAGGTTCAGTCTTATTATGTATGCATAGTAAATTTCTACAGAAATTTCTCACCGTATACGTGCTTAAAATTGGACCAATGATGTTTTTGAGCTCTTCGAGCTCAAAAATACAAATTATGTGTTATTTTGAGCCCTCCAAGCTTAAAGAGATGGGCTTTTCTATGCTTTTGAGCTCTTCACGAAATCACGACTTTTAGGCGAGAGTAGAGCATACCTGCGCACTTCGCGCTTAAGGCATGCAATAAAAAAAATTTTTTTTTTTTAAATCGAAAAAAATTAGTTGTCACGAAGATCCCACGATCGGATTGGGTTTAAAAGTTGCGGAAAATATCGTAGCTTGTTAAAAAAATGTTCAGAAAAGTCAAAATATGCATGATTTTCAGAAAATTACTTTGCAATTTTAAAATTAAGAAAAAACAGAAAAATTTTTCAAAAAAATTTTTTTTTTGTTTTTCGGAAAGTTCACAAAAATTAAAAAAAAAAGTTTGAATTCAGACCATTTTTGTAGAAGTTATGAGCGAAAAACCATCAAGAAAATGGGGGGTTTTTTTTTAATTCGATATGTTTTGAACCAGCGATACCAAAAATCTCAAAATATAAGTAAAGGAGTTTTTTGATTGATGGATACTAAAAAATATCCAAAAATTACGAAAATAATAAAAAAAGATTTTTTAACTATACGATTTGGGAAGAAATGCCTCATTTACAATAAAGATTCTACAACATAAGGCTTGGACTTTCTAATTTAGACAGTTTTCAATGTTTAAATTATGAATTAATAAAATATTTAAAATAGTTTAAATTATAATAAAATTCGCGCTTCACTGTCAGGTATTGTCATCTGCAGGATGCATCGATAGCATCGATAGTACGAAAGGCGACATATGTAATGTTATATGTGTGACTGGCATCACAATCACAATGCTTGAAATGATGCTCAGCAGGTGGCACCACAATTATCTTTCTCGGTATCTAGGGTATCTATACTATTTACATAAATATACCAAATAACACAACCAACTCACCTCCCACATAGATATACGAACACGCATACATACATACTACTGAACGCACACTCTTCACACGTGAGCATATACACATTACACATATATATTTGCAATTTCGTATAATGGCGTTTATCTGTACTTGGAATAGAATTCATTTATTATTTTCGCTTATGAATTTTGTGTTCTGAAAAATTAATTAAGAATATTTATGTGTTATTGAAGTAAATATAATTTAAAATGATCATAGAAAATCCAGAACAATTTAAAAATTGGTTGACCACGGTTTTGGAACCATTGTAAGTGGGCCTCTTTTGCTTTACGTTTGCGTTCATTTTATTAATCTCTATATCTCACATAAATTTTTGTTCATTTTTTTGTGTATTAATTTGATTTAACTTGAAGATGTTATTCCAATCAATGACTTAATTTTCAATATTAATTTTAATTTTTTTGTAACGTGGCATATTTATTGTCCATGTATTCATTTGAATAGCTAATTTTCTTTAATGAAATAGTTGTAGATTATCATTTTAAAATGGTTATTAATTTATTATTATAATTATAGGTGTGATGCTGATCCAGCTGCGTTGGCTAAATATGTTTATGCTTTAGTAAAAAAAGATAAGACTTTAGAAGAGTTACAAGAAGGAATGGTTGAACAGTTAGATGTATTCTTGCAACATGGTATTCAATTTTATAATTTATTTTGATAAAAACATTTAATTCGTATCTCTTAGTTATTCAACATTATATATGTATACGTGTTTCAGAAACTAAGAAGTTTGTAGACTTGTTGTTCAAAACATTAGAAACTCAAGATTACTTGTTACAAGCTCCTCAAGGAAATCTGACTGAACCAATATCATCTCCACGAATTAACCCTTCTGAACATTCAGTAAATTCTGAACAATTAGTAGAACCAACTGTAACCCAGTTGTGTTCTATTACAAATCCTGCACTTTCAGTACAAACTAATGGATCTACAGCTACTTCGACACTTAATAAAAGAGAATCTCGAAAATCTGAATCTGAAAAAGAGGATAAGGATAAACGAACTAGAAGCCGGTAATTGATTTTAATTCAAATTTCGTTTTTATTTTTTTTTTCACAATAGTGCTGCCTAACAGTGATGTGTATCACTGTGTAGTATTGTTAAAAGTATTTGTTTCTTAATTTAATGAAGGGGCCGTTTTCGATCACGATCGAAGTCACGATCAAGGTCGTGGGAAAAGGATCGACGTAGATCAAGAAGTCGAGAGCATCGTAGAGATCGAGAACGTGACAGAAGCCGACTGTGGAGAAACAAATCACCACCATCTACTGTGAGACGTCATGAAAGGAGGTTAGTAAGACAAAGTTAATTATAAATTTTGTGTTTAATTATTTACAATTTAGTGTCTATGTCACTTGATTAAAAGAATCAACAATACGATCATTTATTTGATTTGATAATATTTGAGTTATTTTTATAAGGTTATTAAGACGTGTCATAAATGCGAGTAGTTATTCTTGATATAATCGTGATGAAACTATAGTCTTGTAGTAATGTTACTTTTTCTATGTTAAATACAAACATGGAATAAATACTGTCAAGACCATTCAAGCAAAGTAGTGGTCTTATAGACTGATATTTAATTTAGTAGATTATTAATTAAAAGGATAAAAAAGATATCCTCATATTCGATACACTACTTAGCAATCTAGCTTTTTAATCAGAGTCTTTTTTTTTATTTCCCGTTATGAAAATCAACGGTTTTCAAAAAATCAGGAAGTTCTGGGTCTTACCTCAGTTTTGAAAAATCGAGTTTTCATTAGATCTCCTCATTTTGAAATCTTGAGAAGCTATATTCTGACTATTCATACGATGACGGCAGTATATTTGTGTGTGTGTGTGTGTGTGTGTGTGTGTGTGTGTGTGTGGGGAGGGGGGTAGGTAGGTGAGAGTATGTAAACCTCTCATAACTTTTGAACGGCTCAAGCGATTTGAACGAGAATGGCTTCATTTGATGGGTTTTATTGCCAATAGATTTTATGTGAGTCTGGATTAATTCGGCTCAATAGATTTTGAGTAATCTTAAAAAGAAATTTATCAAAAAAATTATTTTTTTTAACAACTATTAAACTAGTTTATCGATCGATTCCAAAATCTAATCAGCTCTGTTGTTCACAAAACAACATCAATTGCTGCGAACCACATTAGAATCGGTTTATTCGTTCGAGAAGTATCGTTGTCGAAAAATTTCGAAAAAATTATTTTTTTTTGCATGGATAATTGTTTTTTCAAAAACTTTAATATGTTGAGGAAAAATTAGGGTTGAATTCCTCTCACTGTACTCTTTTTACCTGAATAGTAAGTAGCGTTCTCCCCTAGAAGAGAAAACGTGTGAACAACTTTTGATAAAACATTTTTTATTTTAACAAATTTGATTTTACATTATAAATTTTGAAGAAAAAATTTCTTCCTTTTACCTCCCCGCTGCGAAAATCTATGATTTTCAAAAAATCGTAATTATTGGTTTCGGACCGGTAGAATGTGAAAAATTTCAAAACTAAACTTCTCCAAGAAATGTTTTTTCGAATATCTTTTACACAAATACAATGATCAATTCCAAACTTTGATCAGCTCCTAAATTCGAAAAACGCCGTTGATTGCTGCAAATCAGATCTAAATGGGTCGATGCGTTGAAGAGAAACCGTTAAAGAAAATTTTCGAAAAAAGTGATTGTCACTTTCCGCTCAGAAAATTGAAAATTTTCAAAAGTTGGGAAGTTATTAGTTTTACCCCGTTTTTCGAAAATCGAGTTTCCAACAGATGTTGACGTTTTGAGGTCCTAGGAAGCTTCCCCGAATTCCCCGATTCGGATCTGTAGCTTTTGAGAAATCTCAAAAATACTACAAAAAAAAATTGTTTAAAATGAGTTTTTTTTTTAAATAACTTTTAAACGGCTCTACTGATCGATTCCAGCCCGGTCAAAATCAGTTGATTCGTTCGTGAGTTATCGTTGTCGAAAGAAAACCGAAAAAAGTGTTTTTTCGAAATAACTTCGAAATTCCTCGTTCGATCAATTGAAATTTGAAAATTTTTAATGAGGCCTAAAAAACTACGTCGAATGCTGCCGACTGCATAGAAATCGGTTAGTTCATTCAAAAGTTATTGCGGTTTGAAAATTAAAAAAATAGTGTTTTATTAAACTTCTATCAGACTTTTGAGCTCAGAGAGCTCAAAATGACACGGACATTATATCTCTAGGCTCAAAGAGCTCAAAAACGTAATAAGTGCAATTTCGAGCGCTTAGGTATGGAATTAGCGGGAAGTTGCGGGGATGGCTTTCAGGGTCAACCATTTTTCTAATTTTTTTTTTTTTTTAATTTCTCTAGCTCAGTGGCATTTTATAGTATAATCTTGTCCAAAACCAGAATTAAATGCTCTACAAAAGTGTCCATTGTCGCGAAATCGTAACTCATACTGTTGAGGTAGTACGGACCGCTAAATCGAATTTTTTCATAGGATTCTTGTTTTTTCTCTCCTTATCACATAAGCATCAAGACCTACAGAAAAAATGTGAACGATAATTTTATAGGAAATTCAATTTTTTATAAAAAAGGTCCTCAGCACCAAATCACTAAGATTGATATTTTCTAAGATATTAGTCATTGAAGTTTACGTAGCATTCAATTCTCATAAAATGTCGAATCGAATCTTAGAAAATATTGATTTTTTTATTTTTATGATAATTTTAATTAGTAATTACTCATTAATCAAGTTGCAAATTTAACGAAAAAAATTTTTTTAATCATACTTTTCTAAAGTTTTTTTATTTTTAAATAAATTACTAAGATATCAGGTCTATGTAACGTTAAAAGTAAACTACATGTATGATTAAATACCATAAATAAAATATTTTAGAACATTTAATCTACGCTGTAAGCTAATTTGGTACATAGTTTATGTTGCGAACGGTGATGCTGTTCTCATTGAAAAACTTTTTGTCGTTCATCTTCATTGCTGGTGAAAGTTTCATTGAATCTTCGAGTGAGAGCTACTCCTTGCTCAGCAGTATCATTCACAACTTTCAACTTTTTAAATAATTCAGAACATTTTTGGTACTCAGATTTTGATTCCCATGTAGGGTAGAATTGTAGGGTCCATTTTTGCTTACATGAAATTTTAGTTTATATGTAAAAAATTTATTTATTCAAGAAGAATTTTTATTAGAATTTATGAATTAGTACATTTATACGAATTGAATTTATAAACTCTTGCGCTTATAAAAATATTTATACAATAATTTGAAAATAAAGTGGCTAAAAAAGGTACACTGGACACAAACGGTATTTCTACCCTATATAATTCAGAATTTAAAAATTCATAAGAAAGGTTGAACTGTTTAAATATGAAAACTGAATTTGGAGTCGCAAAATCGCTGGGATTTTCTTCACTGAGTGAAGTAATTGTTTTGTAAGGCACTGAGTATTGTTCATTTGATTTCTTAACAGCTACAATACTTTTAATTTTTTTCGCAATTTTCAATTTTTCTTCTGGTAATACCGTATTATCAAAGAGCATCAAACAAGCAAGTTGTTCATGCAAATACCATAGATGTTTAGATAATTTTTTAAGTGCTGCATTAGCAATTTCCAGAAAAAATTTTCGATGTTCGAGAAGATCTTCTTCAAATTGGAAGTCTGAGTTCAGGGCTTTTATCGCGTTTGGAGCAGTGAACGATATTTTCACGTAAAATAATATAATAAAACACAAATTTTACGTAAAGTATCTGTATCTCTCGCTGATACTTAAAGCTGTTGGCAAAATAAATATATTTTCAAACAATAAAGAGCTTCTATAAGCCATTTTGCATGGTGACAAACGCCAGGGGCTTCAAATTGAACTTTATCACCTCCCATACCACCCAAAAATCTTTAGAAAAATATAATTAAAAAAATTTTTTTCGTTAAATTTGCAACTAGATCAATAAGTAATTACTAATTAAAATTATCATAAAAATAACAAAATCAATATTTTCTAAGATTTAATTCGACATTTGATAGGAATTAAATGCTATGTAAACTTCAATGACTAATATCTCAGAAAATATCAACCTTAGTGATTTAGTGCTAAGGACCTTTTTTTTTTGTAGAAAATTGAATTTCCTATAAAATTATCCTATAAAATTTTAATGATTTATTTATTCATTTTGAATTCTATCAAATCATTGCATATAATTGTACTACTTTGAATAGACAATTCCAATTATTTTCTCATAAATTGTGTAATTGAGTAAATTAGTAATTATCTGCTTTGAATTATTTTTACTAAGTTATGATATGAAATACGAACATAAAAGTTCGTTATATAATTTTTGTAAACTGATTAACTAATTTCTAGATTAAATAATGGCAGAGTCTAAATAATGACAATCATTGTAATGATGATGCGATCATAATTGATTGAATACAATAATTATAATAAGAGCAATGATAGAATAAATTACTCATATTATTTGTATGCATGTCTATAATACTAAAATAGCTTTAATTTAATGAGAAAAAATTTTTTTTCTTAAGCCCTATCTACCCAATTTCGGTGAAGTTGTAAATAGTAGAAAAATGATACGTCATAAAGAAGTTTCACTTCATACCTGTGTACTCTGGTACACATACATATTTTTTTTCTGTAGATTTTGTTGTTTATGAGATAATGAGAGAAAAAACAAGAATTGTATGAAAAAATTCGGTTTAGCGGTCCATACTACCCCAACAGTATGAGTTACGACTTCGCGACAATAGACACTTTTGTAGAGCATTTAATTCTGTTTTTGGACTAGATTATATCATAAAATCCCGCTGAGCTAGAGAAATTAAAAAAAAAAATCTGGAAAACGGTTGACCCTAAAGGCCATCCCTGCCCGCCAATTCCATACCTAAACGCTTAAAATTGCACTTACGACGTTTCTGAACTCTTCGAGCTCAAAAGAACAATTTGTGTGTTATTTTGAGCTCTCCGAGCTCAAAGAAATAGCTTTTGTACACGGAAAAAAGAAAACTCGAAAAATTACAGTATATAATGCAACGTGGCGCTTCGTGATGAAAAATAGAAAAATTACAGTTTCAGATTGTAATTATTACAGATTTTATTAGAATTACATTGTAGAATATGATATTTACATTGCAAGCTCTGAATATTAAATTAAAAAATTGAATTTAGAAAAATGTTATTTCATACTGTAATTTTTCGAGTTTTCTTTTTTCCGTGCAGTTTGTAGCAATCGACGCAGTTTTTCAAGCACGAAAAGATTATTTCTTAACTTACTAAATGATCCGAGAAGAAAGTTTGAAGTTATATGAGAAAAACGACTTTTTCCTAATTTTTCGATAACGATATCTCACGAACGAATCAACCGATTTTAACCGACCCGGCGGCGATCAACGCGAGTTTTTCTGTTCTATAAAAGAAGTAAGAACATGCATTTGATCAGATATGAAATTTCGGAGTAATTCGAAAAAATCATTTTTTTCGTCAACCATATCTCACGAACGAATCAATCGATTTTAACTGTCCTGGCGGCGATCAACGTGGTTTTTTGATGTTAAGAATTGAATTAGTCCAGGAGGAATCGGCGCATGAGTACCGAAAACTATTCCACCTCAATTTTTTTATGCAATCCTCTTCAAATTGCCCTACTGATGATATAAATGCATGTTGCCATGGGGCAACCCGGTGCCATATTGTTTAAACCAAAATTGTTTAAACAATTGCAAGGAATTGTTATTTTTCCGGACAAATTTTTTTCCGGACAAATTTTTTCCGGACAGATTTTACCGGACAAATTTTTTTTATATTCTTTGTTGAAATACCAATAAAAAAGGTCCTATAACTTTTTTCGATAAAGTTAATATTTTCAAAGATATGAATTTTTAAAGGTTCGAAAAATCTCAAATTTGGGTACTTTCGACCCATGAAAAATATATTAAAAAAAAAAATAATGTATAAGTAATATTTTTTTAAAATTCTCTATACAATAGTTAATAATATTGTTAATAGAGATTTAAAAAAATTTCATTGTTTATATCTGTTTTTTAATTGTTAATTTCGCGCGCTTACAAGTATGCGTCGCTTACCTTTAAGTATCGCTGTCTCTCTCTGACTCATGCGTTGCATCGGCCTCTCTGTGTCTTGAATCATTATTTATCATTTATCTTAAAAACTATCAACTTTATCAAGATTGTTAAAGAAAGCAATGTTATTAATAATTAAATTTTCTACAATTTGTTACTAATAAATTTTTTTCTGAAATCAATTTTTCAAAAGTTATTTAAGCAAAAATCGGAACATGTAATTAATAGTATACTTTATTTGTTTTATAAATTAATAACATGACTCGACATGTTCCGATTTCTATCGAATATCGAATATAACTTGGTAGTCATTAACTTAATCTCTATAAATGAATAATTGTATATAAAATTTACTAAATTGTTCATATTTCAAG